GGCTTACAAATTTTCCCATTTTTGTTAGCATTGTGATTTGGAAGAGTCTTACCTCATGTCTTATTTAACTTGGGTTTGGCCCCTTTCTTATTAAATTGTAACCACTGTTTCTAAGTATCCACTAATACCTCTGGAAGCCTCCAGCTTGCAGCAAACCCAGAACATCTGGGTGATACCTCATACTTCTGGCACTGAAGGGATCACTGGCATTTAGCTGTGGACAGTCTTTTGTATTAACAAGAGTCATCTTCCCACCTTTATTGTGGGAATTTTTTGTCCAGAAAGTCCAAAGTTGTTTGTCAAAGGCAGCTGTGAATCTCAGTCTTAGCTGAAGGAGCAGACATGCTTCAGAGCATCTGTAGTAATGACAAAGCCATTCTTTTGGGGTTGCCCTTTTCTAAGGTAAGCTGAACTTTCAGATGTCGTTGAAGAGTGCTCCTCTTTCTGCCCTCATCTTCACTTCTCCATAGAAATCAGCTCTGCTTTCAGGAATTGCAAGGAATGCTTAAAATCTGTAGTCTTGCATGAGAAGGTAGGTCCTGTGGCTTACTGTAGGCTTGCAGGAGCTCCCACGTGTGTGGCAGCTTGAGCTAATAGCTCTGGCAGTGTTTCTGAGCTCTTAAGTTCCCAGCAAGTTCAACTCTGACATGTCCTGACGGTCAGCCTGAAGCCATCCAGGATGGTGCTGGGGTCCCTCGTGACGTGTGGAGGACACTCACCTGCTTTGGTGGTCATGGTCACGTGCTCCTCTGCTGACACCACATGCAAAGACCATCTTTGCAGCAGCTGCTCGCTCCGGGCTGCCCCATCACATCCCACCTGCATGCCTGGGCACCCCTGATTTTTGCCTCTGCTCCTTTGCATGCAGGAAATAAGGCACATAGGAAGTGCACACAACCGGAGCGCGGTGCCCTTCACTGCTGCCACGGCTTCTGCCCCCAAGGTGATCACTGCTCAGTACAACAGCCCAGCAGGCCTCTACTCCTCAGAGAACATCCAGACCTTCAACAGTGCAGTGGAGTCAAAGACATCACCTGGGGCCCTGGAGCCTACCAAGCCGTAAGTATCTTCCTCGCCTCCCCTCCCTGCCCAGGCCCCCAGGGGAAGGTTCCAGGAGACGTGAGTTCACTGCAAGGGTACCAGTTTGTTAACCCAGAAAAACTCTTTTTCAGGACAAGGGAAGGAGCAGAGGCACAAGCGTGGATGTGGTTCCCAGGGGCAGGGCTCGGAGGAGCGGGGAACGTTTCGTGAGATGCAGAAGTGAAATTAATGCTGTTGTGTTTCTTTGTTTAGCAGAGACCGACGCAGTTTCCGCGTGCGTTCAGCATGACATGCCAGCCCACTGGTCTGAACAGGTGCCTGATAGCTTGTTACAAGCACTTTGTAAAGTTAGCGTTTTGTGCTGGCTTTGCGGGCAATGCTGGGCAGGAAGGGTACTGGCTAGTGCAAGAAGCACACACGTCCCCGTTCCTGGCTGGCCTGGGATTCATAGACAGGCTCTGCCTAAGTTTGGATCTTTCTATTTTTTATTATTGAACGTTGCTTTTCACAGGAGTTTTAAAAAGTAGCTGAAACATTCGTATCTATGTGAGCGATTTTATATATGGGATTGGAAAGGATCCCAACCTTAAAAAGGCCTATTGATTTTTGTGGTTGCACCTGAGCTTCACCAAAGACATTGTTTTATCCCAGAAGTCCAAAGTTCCTCTTTTTTCATTGGAAGCAATAAACCAGGAGCCTTCTGAAATCTTTCTAGCCGTATTGGTCAAGTTGCTTAACTGCCCTAAGTCTCTGTATAGCAGAACCAAACTGCCGGGAAGACTTTGGCCACTTTTACAATAAAAGCTGCAAGACCTATGCTTTAAGTGATACTCAACTCAATTCCTGACTTGTGAATGGGGAGACCAAAGTAACTTCAGCCTCTGCTTTTGCAGGGCACAAAGACCTGAGATTGTGGTTTAACACAAGCCTGAAAACTTGCCCCTGACTGAAACCGGCTTCTTGCACTGGCAGCCTCATCTGCAGCATGGGCCCTTCTAGGCAGATTTACGGTGCTGCAGCTGGCAGACAAGGCGACAGGCGTTTATTCCTCATTTGCTTCTGGTATACTTTAGCAGCCTCATTCAGGGGCTGAGCAAAGGCAGAGCAAGGACAAGGGAAATATGACTTTGCGTTAACCTGATGGGACCATTTGGCAGTCAAATACCACCTCTGGTCTAGTCTGGAGTCCCCTGCAGGTGAGAGCACTCCCTGGAAGCCAGGTATATTTGGCTGGAAACTTGTGGGTGATCCCTTTTTCTTGCAGGGATCAGCAAAGAGGTGGGTTTCTTCTAGTGCTGTGGCTCACTGTGCTCCTTGTAGCAGGAAGGTCCATTGCCAGCCCTCCTGGGTGTAGGGTAAATGGCATCTCCTTCATCTTTCCCTTGCTGAAACAAGCAAGTTGCAAAGGAATGCTGGGAGGACTGTGGATGAGACCTTTGATGCTAATACACTTTTGTTTACGGAGTCATCAAAAGCAAATGAATTGCTGCTGGTTTTCAGTGAGAGCCAGGGGCTTCACCCTGCCATTAAAAACCCACTGTGGTCTCCCCAGTGCACAAGCACAGGATGCATAGGTTCTCCCTTCACACAGCCTTCCAGCTGCCTTTAAATTCCTGCCCGTCTGTTTTGCTGAGTTATTTGTACAAGGCCGACCTTGCTCTGGGTTTACCTGGCATTTATCTGCATCCCCATCCTGCACCCAGCAGCCACACAGCCTGTCTGAACCTGGCAGCCTGATCCTGCCACTGCATATGGTGACATGACATGGGGACCTGGTCCATGGTCCATCTTTAGAGGGTGTGTGATGTAAATGCAGGGCTGTAGTACAGACAGAAACACCAGCAAACATCTCCACTGGATTTGGTGTCGCAAAGCAGGCAGGGAGGGCAGGGAGAAGACCCGTTGCTGAGCACATCTATTTTGGGATCAGAGGTGAGATTGCCCCTCAGTAGGGCGCCCAGGCTGGCTTTGGGAAGGGCAGCAGTGAAGGTGGCATTCCTTGGCTGGACAGTGGGACCATGAGTGTGTGCTCAGGTAGCTAGTTCGTAGTGAAAACTGCCATGTCTTCTGCTTTTACAACCCCTGCATTTGCTCATCAGTAGAGCGACTGCATTTTGTGTGGACACACCTGGTGTGCGAGACCAGAGCCACAGCATTAGTCAGAAGCCTTTAATGTAAAGTCGTGTTCAGTGGTGTGTCCCTCTGGCACAAGGAACAGATAGTATTCTGCAACTGCTTGTATCGCTTGGAGTGTTTGGTTTAGCCCTTCATTAATTTCTTCCTTCTTTCCTTTCTTCCTCTTCTTCTCTTCCCTCAATTCCACAATGTAAAATCCAAATGAACCCCCAAACAACCAAAACTCAAACTGCCCGTGTGAACACGTGGGCCCATAGCCGCCCATCGCCGATGAGGGCGATGCAGGCTCCCTTCGCCTCCATCTATAACCCTCTGCAGGCGCAGACCTCCGAGCTGCCGCAGCGGAGGCACAGCACCTCCTCCGTCCCCAGCCAAGTCCGAGTGGGGCCCAAGCAGCTGAAGTGCGCAGCCCAGGTCTGCCCCAACAGCCCCGTGGAAGTGGAGGTGCCAGGACTCAAAGTGCTGCATGTGCAGTTCAATTCTCCCCTGCAGCTCTATTCGCAGAGCAACATCATGGATTCCCTGCAGGGGCAGATCTCTTCCGTTAGCCCCGACTTCCCCAGGTAACCTGCACACTGCCTCTGCAGCCAGCTCGGCGCATCCATTCATCCGCATCTCGGTGTCCATGAGTGCCTCGTCCGTGTCTGTGGCTCACGGCATTGGCCGGTCACAAGGAAAGAGCATTTACATTTCACCTTTCCGACATTAGTGCATGAGTCTTCACAGGAGCTTTCTCTGCATTGTGTCTGTGTCCAACGCCACGGGAAGCACCAAAACATCATTTCAGCCTGTCAGTGTGCCCATTGCCCCCGGCGCACCCGCGCAGCAGGGCCTTGACAGCAGCTGGTGGCTTTCCTGGAGGAGATGGATTTGCTGGGGGCAGGAGAGTGCTTTATCCTGCAAGCTGGCGTTTCTCCTGCACTGAAATGACTGTTGTTGTTTGCGACTGGAAGGTGCTACCACACGTGTCCTTGTGCTTTTGTTTCGCTGGCTGCGGGCTGGGCCATGAGCGTGCGCTGGGCGAGTTTCATTTCAGGCTGAAGCGGGTCCCCGTGGGTCTCCATCTTTGGCTGATAACACTCACGAGTTTGGAGCAGCCTGGGCAGGCAGCAGGCACATGGAGGACCCAGTCCATGTTCCCACCCCTGCTCACTTGCCTGCAGAGGTTGCTGCTCTTTGGGCTGCCTCTTTGCCTGAAGGAGCAAAGGATGCTCGACATGCTCTGAGGTCTGCAGGACCTGTGGAGAGCCTCAGCGTCACAAGGCCTGGATGCTCTTTGGTGTTTGCTTTGTGGCAGTTGGGAACCAGCTGACCTGTGCCTCTAAAAGACAGCCCACAGGGTTTTACAGGGAGGACTTCAGTATCGAGATGGCTGAAGCAGAAAGCATGTTTAGCCTTCTCACAGGAGGGCTCCAATCAAGGCTGAATTGTTTCAGAAGATGTGAATCTTCAGCAGAGTTACCCCGCTATGTGACCAAGCAGCTTGCAGCTGTGTGACTTGAGGTCCAGGGAGGTGGTCAGTCCCGTGGCCTCCGTGGGACAGAGCGAAAGGGCACAGCCAGATCTCATAGCTCCTCAGCCGCTCACAATCCCCTCCTGGGCTGAGCACCATGTGCTTCAAAGCAGAAAAGCTGGCGTCCCATGGACCCACACAGCCAAGCTTTGCCGTGTGCCAGCAGCCAAGAGATAATGGGAGGCTGTGGATTTACTCCTGCCTTGTTACTCGGTCCAGTTACTTGCTGTAAGTCAGTGCTCTGGCTTGTAGTCCATACCGTGCATGCCAGCAGTGGTCACACTCCGCTGGCTGGCTGTGCTGGTCCGGACAGTTGATAACACTCACAAAGGAGCCCCAGGCATCAGCAGTTGTTTCATTGCAAAAGTGAGTGCTCCAAGTACTGGGCCTTCCTGTAGCCCAGCTTTGAGATCCTTGTAGACTTTACAAAATGTGCTAGCATAAAAGAGTAAAATGACATTAGTAAAGAATAAGCTGTGCTTTTCTGAAGACACTGTGTAAGGCTGTGTCTTTATGGTTTTTATTACCATCTTCTTGCCAATTTTCAAAGCTCAATGATCCAGTCTTATTTAGTCAGCATTGCAAGTAGTGAAATTCAGTAATGGTTGTGTAAGTCTGAAATCCAGTAAAGGTTGGAGTTGACTCTACAAAGTTTCGGCATCAGGGAACTCCTGCACGTGGAAAACGACACCAGTTGCTGGTGATTGCTGCAGATAAAGTACCCATGTAACAGGAGGTGCCATAAATCAGCCAACATATGGAGACTCATTATCCTGCAGGCACAATTCCTGTGGCTGTGGCCTTGCCCATTCAAAAGATGCATGTGCTTTTTGGTGGTTTTTTTTTTTCTTTAAGCAGCATAGCCTTCTGCCCTGACAAGTTGAGGTATTTCACTCTGCTAGTACAAATGCTAGGATTTGGGTTTTTATAGTCTTTCGGAAGTCTTGTATATGCAAGTATATCTATAGGGTGCATACCTGGGAGAGCTGATGTGTAAGTTTTGCACACTGTCACAATGCATGGTTGAAATGTGATGGCTTTGTTTGACTCTAGTGCTCTTTAAGATGATTTAGTCTTTGCTTTTTGAATGCGTTAGTAAAACATTCTTAGTATGCAATGACAGGTTTCTTGCCTAATGTTTTTATGGGTGGATAGAGTGGTGGGAGTATATGAGTTTACGTAAGATGAATGTAATGTGGAGCATGGATTCATTTGGGGTAACCTAGGACATTTTCTGTGTAATAGAAGGCACGTCATTATTTTATTTTGGATGAGAGGCTTCAGTAAATAAGACTCAGGCTTCAAGGATTCAACTGCTTGCAAGTCTAATGTGCTTCCTGCTCCACTGAAAATTACTAAAGATGGAAACATTTTATGAAATTCTTTTTATGGAAGTAGCATTTTATAACACGTGCGATGGTTTTACCTCTGATGCTTGAAGAGTTTATTATGTAGAGTAACTCCCAGATGACTCAATTGCACGTTGGCATGGGAAGTATGCAGTTGCCTCTTCAAGAAAGAGATTTCCCTCTGCAATTTAGTCTGAACTTCAGGATCTTTATGTACTTTTCAGGCAATCACAGGGTGCAGGGATGGTAAAACCTAATAGACCATTTACATTTATAAGGCTGCATTGTGTAATTGAGCTGTCAGAAGAGACTTGTCAGTTGTGTCATTTTTCCGGAGATGTTTTATTCCAGCCACAGAATACAAGGCAGGCAGGAACCTCCCGTGTCATTTAGTCCATCCCCTACCCTAGCATTTGGTCAATTTAAACCATTGCTTTAAATCATTCCCAGCAGATATTTGTCCAGACTCTTTTAAATCCTTTAGTATGGAGATTGCTCACCTGTCCACAACCATCTCCTCTGGTATTTTGGTGTCTGTTGGACACCAAACAAATCTTTTCCCAAGGGATATTCTGAGTATCCTCCTGCAGTTTTAAGCCTGTAGTTTATCCTGTGCCCACTGGATGTGGAGAACACCCTAAGTATTGCCTCCAGCCTCTTTTTTTTCCCCTAAAGACCCTTCCGGTGGCACAATGCCCACCCTTTCAGCCACCCTGCACTGTGAAAAGCTGCCCCTGAAGCACCTCGGGCTCTAGGCTGAGGGTGCAAGTCCTTCGTGACATGAGTGGCGGCAGCAGCACCTCAGGAGGCAGCTGAAAGGAGGGCTTAGTCTTAGCAGGCAGAGATCTCCTCTGCCCTTGACCTGCTCATTAACCTTAGTTAAATGCTGTAAATGGGCTGTGGCTCAGAGTCTCCACCTATAAAATGGAAATAATAACACTCACTTAAAAACCAAATTAAATTATTGCCAATCAGAGGATCTTTTAGTTAGATCCTACAGCTGTTACTTTGTGAAGGTGGCCTTTAGGACCAATTCATAGTGTAATTGCAAAGATTTCTTTTTAATGGAATAAACTTTACTTAATTTGAGATTCACAGCGGTGTAAGGTAGCAGTCTAGGGTAGTTTATGCATGCAAGGAACATTCATAGATGGCACAGCTACCATGTGGGATTCCCATCCCAGCATGAGTTCTTTATTTTCCTATTAACAAAGCAGTGATTTCCTGGGCAGAAAGTTTTAGTTTCTGGAGTATATAGTAATTGCGAAGCAGGGAAAACACTTGGGGACTGGCCAGAGGCGGTCGGTGAGAACCCATTGAGAGTGGCGTACGCGGATAGCCTAGCGTGTGCCGATCCTACCCGGGCTGCAGCTGTCTTGTGCGAGCACATCCAGCACCTCCGTGTTTTATGGCGTCCTGTTGTGCGTTTGTTTTGCACATTCATTCTTCAGTCATATGATGCATTGTGAAAATTTTGCTAGAGGCTTTAGTTTTCAGCCGTTTCACAAGTGTGTTTTCTGTCCTTTCCTCAGTTTAGATCAGCATAACCAGGCCCCAGGCGGCATTGTCATAGACAGAGAATCTGAGGTTTACAAGATGCTCCAGGAGAATCAAGAGTCAAATGAGCCACCCAGACAATCTGCTTCCTTCCTCGTGTTGCAAGAGATTTTGGAGTCAGAAGAGAAAGGTAAGCACTCACTCCACACCTAATCTGAGTGTGCTCTTCCTTTTTGCGATTCCTTGGGCTGTGTACAGTGTTTAAGAGTAACATCTAAAACTTTATTTTCCTTCCTTAGCTGGTGATTGTTCAAGATAGCGTGTGTAGATGGTTTCCACAGAAACAGACCCTTTCACTAACTTTACTCCTAAATTTCTTCTTTTTGATTAGTTTGAGTGTCTATGGGCCCATATCGTTGCTTACTCATTGAGTGAGTGCTCAAGAAATAAACCCCTACAATATTTAGTTATCAAGAAGGAATTTTAAAAGTTGCAAAAGCTCTTCTTTACTTTCTAAAGTTTTGCCCTTTTAAGATAATATTCACTGATTAAAGACCATCTTAGATTCAAGACTTTGAATGATACCACAAGATAGGGCTCTTCAGTGAGTCGTAAAGCTTCTGATCTCCATCCCTCTACACAAGAAAAAGGATCCATTTCTGCAGCTGAATGTAAAAACATGGAAGCTGGGTTACAGTGAGCAGTTCATAGCTTTTAATCTCTGAACCTTTGCTCTGCTTGGCATTCTTGATCTGGCATCTGGACTTGTGTAGGTCAGGGCTATAGACTTTAAGATAAAAAAGCCAATTAACTTATGTGGAGGCCAAATCGTACTCTTTTCTCCCCTTGAATAAAATAAAATAAACAAATAAATAGGACAAGAATTCCAAGAATGACTTTTTTTTCCTTAGGCCAGTTGAGACTTTGTCTTTTGTGTTATTAGCTTGGCAGTGGAACATTCAATTTCATCCAACAAAAGCCTGGTGCTGAGATATTTGCCACAAAGGGAAACAGATCTGCCAAGTGCCGATAGGTCTGAGAGATCTGTAAGGAAAGAGCAAAATGAAGGAAATAAGGAAACAATAGGAAGAAAGAAATCAGGATGTTGGATATGCTGTTAAAATATCGACCTGAAAGCATCTTTTAAATATTGAGTGTTTGCAACTTGCCCTTCAGGGTTCAGCTCCTGCATGGAAGGAACTGGAGTAGTGGGGACTTCTCACACATCCGAGGTCCTCCCCCGTGTTTAGTAGTGCTGAAGAAGATAAGAAGCAAAAGCCCTCTCTATTTTATCTTTCTTTGAAGAGTTGCAGCATTATTGGGATTCTCTGGCACAAGGTTTGCCTGCCCAATCACAGGCCAGGATAGGCTTTGGCATTGCTCCACCGTGAGCTGATAATCACCCATGCAGAGCAGGGCCGGGAGGTTACGCAGCCCCAAAGGAATGTCTGTTTGTCTGTTCCTGAGGAGACAATGCCCCTGCCTGCCGCACCGCTCGGCCAGGCTGAAACACTGCTACTGCTGAGTCAGATCATGTCCGTGGTGATAAACAGCAGATAAATAGCATGTTTGTTGGCTGCTTCTCCCAACCTGTCTTCAAGCAATGGCTTGTGAGCAGCAGAGGGACCTATGTCCTCAGCTGGGACAAGTCCCTCGGGGCATCACTGTCGGCTGTGCTGACCTACACCAGCTGAGAGCCTGGCCCCGGACATGGGGACTGTGTGTGGGTGCTGGTGTGTGGAAGCCCCACAGCTGGTCTGTGTTTAGACCTGACCCTGAGCTTTTAGGTGGAGGGTGTTTTGCAGGACGGAACAGGTTATGTTTCCATGGGTATTTGATTAAGCTGATTCCTTTAGAGAGATTTAAAAACATGCTGTCAATGTTGTTGATGCGAGCAAAGTGCTGTTTGAGGCAGAGAGAATGAGCAGAGGTGGTAGGGAAGAGCTTGAAAATGTGGTTGCTGCTTCTTCCTCCCCAGCAGGTGTCACTTGCAATAATTCTGTTGGAGGCCAGGTGCTTCCTGCTGTGTTTGGAGGGTGCATGGGCTGTTGCCCCCATTAGGGAACTTGCACCTCTGGACCAGCATCTCTGCATGGAGCCGGATGCAAACCTCTGAGCTGAAGGCTGCTCCAGAGGCAGAGCAGCGCAGTGTCACCCGCCCCACGGGTGAGCGGTGACACTCAGGCCACTCTCTGCGCTCGGCTGGGTGACAGGGAGGTGCAGCGGGCAGTTCCCCAGCTTTTCCCCTCAGCTCTTCTCTCAGTGGTGCTGCCCCAGACTGCGACATGTGCCTGACCTTGCTGGTCATCAGGATGTGCCTTTGGAGAGTTTGTCCTTCCCTTACACCAGGAACAACCAGTGCAGCATGCTCTTGGCTTGACACTAGTCAGAAGAGTTTTATCAGCATCCCTCCCAGTCTGAGGTGGCACGGGTCTGCCCATCAACTCCCTCTGTTTCTGTTGAAACATCGTGGGAGTCTCTGCAGTCCTCCTTCCCTTGTTGCCTGGTGTTGAACCTCTTGCAAAAATCATATAGATAAGACTAGTCACATCAATGGTGTCATTTTGTAAGAGGCTCCTTTTTCACTGCAGATATTTAAAGGCTTGCCTTGTATCCTCCATCTAGGATCCACTGCTGTTGTAGGCATCCAGGTCAGCAGATGTCTCCTGTGAAGGACCTGCAGGACATCCCTGCCCCAGAGAGGTTGCACTAGGGAGATACCTTCCCTGGAGCAAGCTACGCAGCAGCAGGAGGGCACAAGGTTATCCCCAGTGTCCCAGGGCCCTGCCACGACAAGGAGTTTCTTAACCAGCTCTTCCAGGAGTCTTGGGGGAGCCAGCCCCACTGTACTCCAGACAGCAGACTGGAAAAGGACTTTGACAGTCCTCCCTAGTCTGCTAGGACACCCACCTCCTCTTTCTGAGCCCAAATGTGGCAATCAGTTTGACCCTTTGTGTGTGATCAGGACACAACAGGCAGACTCTGGTGCTGCCAAGGTTGGGGCTGAGGCTTTGCTTTGCTTTGTGCATCTGTGCATGCGAGACACATCAGCTAAAGTCTGATAGGCTTTTAAGATGAGAAGAGACAGTATCATCTCATCTGACTGCCCACAATCTCAGGCCCTCGGGTTTCAAGGGCCAGGTTCACCTGTGTCCCTTCTCTCCCGCCTCCCCACACCCCCCTAAATCCCTGTCCCCTTTCCATGCATGAATCCCTGCCTCAGAGCTGGGGTTAAAGAACATCACCCCTCCCTAGCAGAGCATCTGCCTGGGAGGAAGAGCCTAGAGCCACACATCTCGCATGCTCTCAAGCACTCTCCTTCCACCCCCAGGAGACCCTACCAAACCATCTGGATTTAGGAGCGTCAAAGCCCCCACCACAAAGGTGGCCTCATCGATTGGGAATGCCCAGAAGCTGCCCATGTGCGAGAAGTGTGGATCTGGCATCGTGTAAGTAAGCCTGTCCCTGGGGTTGCAGGCTGTGGCCGAGCATCCCATGCCTGTGCGAGGGGCTGAGGCGCTGCACCCGAAACACTTCACCTACCCACATCCAGTGCATCCAGGAGCCGGCTCAAGGCATGTTTATTCTCACCAGCTTTGATAACTCTAACTTTACAGTTCCCTGCAGTGAGGCAGGAGTTGGGTTTCCCTCTACAGATCCATATCAATAGAAACCAGAGCAAGTCCCTGTGAGACAAACCTGGAGACAGTTGTTGCTGCAGTGTTTTGCTTCCTACCTGAAATCTGCTTATAGCACCCAGCAACTAAATGAGCTTTCCATTCAGGGCCTGTGTATTTAATGATTTTTCATGCCTTGGCACTCCCAGCCATGGAGTGGGGACTTGCCCTGCTGGTCACAGGCAATGTGGGCTGGGAGAGCTGCATTCTGCTCCCCACTCTGCTGTAAGACCACACACCTCCGCTGTGTCTACGCAGACATAATTTTTGTTGTCTTTATGTGGGGATGTCCGACTTCCAGCACAGCAGGGGCATGGGTTCGATACAGAGCTGCTGTACCGTGTGACAGCACGAGGGACCCAACCCATGTCTTTGATTCACTGTTCAGGTTCTCAACCACAAATTCTTCCCTACCACCCCCTTTAGCTTAACAGTTGACTCCAGCAGTCAAGAGCTGGTAGCCTACTTGCATCAACATGGAATAATTCAGATTTCTCCCATGCCGCCCACCACAAGCTATCAGATTGTTGCTGAGACCCACTATGCTGTGATTGCATGGTCCTGGCATGCCTGGAGCGCCAAGGACCGGCAGAGTCATTACAGAGGCAATCCGTACCCTGTAAAATATGAATCAGAGACAAACCCTACAATTATTCTACCAGCTGGGTAGAGCTGGAGAGAAGGCACAAGGCTATGAATAGCACTAAAAACTAATGAATTATGGAAAATATAGATGGCTGCTGGAACAAAATAATACTCCTGGCAAATTGTTGTGTTGTTGCTGGTGGTAGTTAACGAGTTGCTATGTAGTTTTTCTCATCATTGGTGGATTAAGTTGTGAAGTTTTCCAGTAAGAGCTGGCCCACATTTGGCTGGATGCGTTCACTGCAGCTCCAGAGCAGCAGTCTGAGATCAGAGCCAGGATCTGGCCTCTGTGCTTCTCCCATACATACCTGGTGTGTCCATCACTAGCAAAAGGGCAGTGGCTGGCTGTGCAGCCTTCATCCCCTTCGGTTAGTGGTGACAGTCATTTCTGGATTTGTTATGCAGTCCAGTTGGTTTGGACCTGGATTTTGCTCCCCCAGATGGTCAAGCTGATGCCTGTCATTTGGTCCTGGGCATTTGAAGGCTCTTGCGCTGTCTCCAGCCGCCAGCTAAAGATGCCATCACAGTGAGTCTTGCCACCACAGGTGATAGACCTGTCCCTGTGAAACTTAGGCAGGCCAGGAAACACTTTCCAGAGGAGGGCTCCCACGCTGGCACTTTGGGCTCTAAAAGTGCTGTTAACATCTGCCTGACCAGAGGTAGGGCCTATACTTTGACTTGTTGGGAGCAGGAGAAAATTATCCACCTTCAGTGCTGGTGTGGGTCTGGGCTGGGTGGGAGGTGGCTGGGAAGGAGGGAGGCAGTGGTGGGTGTCTGGCACTGAGAGGTGCTGGTTCCTTCCCCAGAGGGGTGTTTGTGAAGATCCGGGACAAGCAGCGTCACCCCGAGTGCTATGTGTGCAGCGACTGTGGCACCAACCTGAAGCAGAAAGGACACTTCTTCGTGGAAGACCAAATCTACTGCGAGAAGCATGCCCGGGAGCGGGTGGTTCCCCCGGAGGGCTATGAGGTGGTCACCGTTTTCCCAAAGTAAACTGTGCTGCTCACAAAGCCAGTGTGGATGGTTTCTCCTCTGCTGCTTTTCCTTGGGAAGCATCGTCCCTGGCCCCCTGCCCCCCCAATCTTGTTTGCAATACGGAATGCTAGGCATGGCTTTGAATTTCCTTGCCATTATTAATCCTCCATCTGTTCACATGAGATGTCACTAATTGTTCAACATTCTTTTCGTCTCCTCTTTCACTGTTTGGGTTTTTTTTACTACACAAAATTATTTTTTCTTTCCTCCTTTGTGCTGTCAATTGCACAGGAAAATCAGAGGCCAAAGTCAGATTACAACTCTTCTGTGTCCCAGTTATTTGCCTTCTGTTTGCATTCAATAAACGGGGTGAATCCACAAGGCAGATGTGTCTGCTTTCTCCTGGTGTCCCTCTGCACTGGACCAGGGTTCCCAGGGCAGCAGAAGAGGTGTGCAGTGCATGGCTGTGTTTACCCTGGAGAACAGTGGGAGGGAATTACAAAATTGAGTCAAACTGGTCTCGCATGCTGCCCAGCTGCTGCTAGCAGCTGCCTGCTGGCACCCAGCAAGGGCCAGGTGGGCACAGCCAAGCCACAGACCATAGCTGGCACTGGTGGCCTGTCCCCGGTGCAAGGCAGCCGAGAGCTGCTTCCTCTGCGTCCAGCACTGCTTCGTGACGACAGGACCGGGCACTTCAGTGCTTCCCGTTACCACATCACCCAGGTGCCCCTCCGTTCCCCACGGTCACAAACTGACCTCTATGAAAAAATGTCCACTTGATGCTTGCTGAAAACCAGGGAGTGCTGGAGCAAAGATGGGAAGGTTTGAGTGGCTGTAGTCCCTGGGCCTGTTCTGTCCGTCCCAGTCCATTACGTGCCAGCTTCCCCCCTGCACCGCTCGGCTGGGTGCAGGCAGGGTGGGCCTCGCCACCACACACCCCCTCGTCCAACCCGGGGCAGACCCCTTGGACATGGTTGTTTCTGCCTGCAGATATTTGGGACAGTCCCCTGTGCAAGGCCCCGTGTGGCTGCCAGGGGCATCACCCTGCTCCCTGTGCCGCCAGGGCTGCATGGCTGCTGGAAGGTGCCTTTGGGGGTGATGTCGGGAGGGGGCACATGCCCCATGTGCACTGGATGAGGGGCTGATGGTGCCCGAGCAGCAGTGCCTCACCCATGAGTAGCAAAGAGGTGGTCTGCGGTGAAGTTGTTGCTCTGCTTGCACCTCTCTGAATGAGATGCTGGCTGTTCTTTTGGTGTAAAAATAAATGTTTTCTAAGATGTAGTGTCATCTTTGCTTTAAAACAAATTGCCAGAGGTTGAAAACAGAAGGATTTGTAGCTGCGTACAGGCCCTCTCTGGCAGGCATGGGTCCACCTCCACCCCTGGGGTTAGTGGTGCATCTGCAACAGCTACAGATGGGGTCCTGTACCTGTCCTGGAAAGTCCTGGACATCTTCAGCAATGCTTTACTGCTGCACCCTGTATTTCCTCTCATTCAGGATGAATCACACCACAGCACAGCTGCCTTGCAAAAAAAAAAAAAAAAAACCAAAACAAAAAAACCAAAAACCCCAAACCACAACCTAAAACCCAATCCTCATCTGAGGTAAAGCTGACCTGTCACTAAGATTATAAGCCTCCCGTTGTCCAGATCAACTGTACAGCTTTTTGGCAAGTTGGGGAGAGTACTAATTCACCAACCCAGCTAAATTTAGCTCATCCCCTCAGGCTCCTTCTATGGGAGTGGCAAGCAGGCGAGGATAGCATAGCTCAACCAGCAAACGCCTCATCTGGCTCATCCCTGGGAAAAGCCTGGCTTCTCCGTACTGCCGGCACATGCCTGCACCCACACCTGCACAAACTCCAGATACTAACACAAGCAGCTTCATTTTTCAAGGTGAGAGTGGGATTTTTTTGGCCTGCTGGGGTGACATCTCCCCTTACTGCTGCTAATGGGGGTTAATTCTCTCCCCTCCACAGTGCATTTCGCCAGGGAAAGGCTCTCCATGCTGCCGCACTGGCAGGTGCAGGCAGGCTGGACTGGACACAAAGCCAGCGTAGTGGCGGAGCACAGACCTGTAGAGCTGAAGGTGTAAACCTGTAGGAACAGATTGCTCTGGCTGCATCTCAGATCAGTGCTCAGGCCCTGCTGTGGCGTGGGACCCTGGCTGCTCCCAGCACTGCACACTCCTTGCTCCCCACTTTCTTGGCAGGCTGGGGGCTCCTGGCTGCCCACCACCCGTGGCTGGCTGCTTGCCTTGCAGGAAGAAAATGCTGGCCGCTGGGGCCATCTGGTGTGCTGCACCCCAACGCCAGCGTGTGGGCTGAGCCCTCCAGCGCGTGCAAAGTCACCAAATGTTTTCGTACTGTACAAGCGTCTGTCAGCAAGATGTGGCTCGTTCCAGATAACCTCACGAGCTTTCTCTTGCGTCAGGAGGTCAGGACAGAAAAGCCTGAACCATGCCTGGCATTTCCCCTGCCCTTCCCACCCCAGCCCCGCACTGCAGACAGACCTGCTTTGTCCAGGGCTGTGTGCTTTATCGCCCCGGGCGAGCCCCTGCAGTGAAGGCTGGCAGCGCTGCTGGGAAAACACTGATTGCGCGGGGCTTGACGCAGGAGTCGGGAACTACAAAAGGCCCTTGGAGGTGTAGGTTTCTAATGCAGATACCAGTATTGATCCAATTTATTACTATGGGAACAGGCTAGCCGAGGCAATTTACATTCATTACCCGGGGAGGACTTCGATTGCTCTCTGCTGTAGCTCCATCACTCTCTGCTGTTGCTCGCTGAAAAAACGAATATATTCTTTTTTTTTTATGATGCAGAACAAAATACTTGGCAACTGCAGTGTTCACTGTAGTCTGACTTTCCAAATTCCTCTGGAGTTTAACAGTTGGCAACTGGAGTTTGTCAACAATAACAAAATAGGTTAAATCGGGTCATGCCTGCAACCACACTGAGCCGCCTGCTCCAGAAGTTAACAATAATGTAAGATAATATGTAAAATGTTCCTATCTGAAGAGTGTCAGGCGGTTTGTAAGTGAGCTAACCTCCTGGCAAAGAGGGATTGTCTCACGTAGGTGTGCAGCAGAGCACAGAGCACAGAGCCCATTCTGTCATTTTTAACACAGATTACTTGGGTTTCTGGCTGTGGCCTCTCCCCACCACTGCCACATCTCCCGTTTCTCCTTGTGTAGCAGAGGGTGGTTGTGGGCTGCAGCTGCCTGTTGGCTCGCGGGAGCCCCCTCCACATGGCAAGGGGTGCCACGCTCAGCGGTGGCATGGAAAAGCTGCGAGCACAGCGTAAGACGTGGGCCCCGGCAGGCTGGAGAAGAGGGCTTGCGTGGGACAGAGTAGCACGTCTCCCTTCTGAGCTGAGAACACAAACCACTGTTTACACAGTTAAAAAGACCCCGCTGCTGGCAGTGACTCAACAGAGCTGCCCCCAGGAGATAAAGCAGATAGAAAAGGGTCAAAAAAAAAACCCCAAAAAAACCTAACATCATCATCAAGACAGACCTCTCATTGTTTCCTCCTCATCCCCACACCATCACCACCACCCTCCCCCCAGCAAAACAGCACCAAGCAGCATGGCCAGTTGCTCCAACTTGCACATTTAAGTTTCATTTGCTAATGGCAACCCTGTGAGCTCAGTCTGTTATCAAGGTGGGGTCTTGGCAGCTCAAACGTCATCTTTGCTAGGCAGGTATGTAAAAATACCCAAATGATGGTACCTGCAGAGTGCATTCGAGTGCTGGTGAAATGCCATTAAATAGATTCTAACATGTGAGATAAGTTTACCACACATTTTCTTGTCATCACCTAGAAAAAACAGCAGCAGCCTCTCCCTAGCCCTCCCCAACTAAGAATATGAGCTGCTCGCCAGATTTAAAAAAAAAAAAAAAGAAAAAGAAACTTGCAAATAGACACACAGTAGCAACACACAAGCAAGCCGAGACCCCACCTTTCTGTCCATGCATTTGGTCTCAACAACTCAAACATCCACAGACACCCCCAACAGGAGGAACAACCGCTGAGTGTATCTGGATGCAGCATGGGACAGAAGCACTGCTTCCAAGTCACCAAGACAAATCTACGCTTCAAGAATTTGTTTTGTATCCGCTGAAATATTTTTTCCCTCTAATGGACAATCAAGGGGACATTATTTCACCCAGAACAATTTAAAACTGTTAGCACCAGCACCCCCCCACCCCAAACATCCTCACATTGTTATTACTGCATTTACTTGTGGATCTCCCCCATCTAAAGAAAGGAAGGCTGCTTTCTGAAACACCAGCACCCCTTACAGCACGCCCCAGACTTTGCCTGTAGGCATTAAGTGCACAAATGCTGGACTGCCCCTTCACAGCTTCGGTGGACAAGTGTGAACATTACTCTTGACTGCAGGAATAAGAAATGAAAGGTCATGCCAAGGCGGCACTGTGCTTGCTTTGATCAACTTTCACAGTACTTTGGGAGCAAAAAAAAAAGGGGGGGGGGATGGAGAGATGGGGTCCTCTATGGCAGCAAGCAAAAAGTGTGCATTGCTTTCGCTTTTTGAAGGTGGGCGAGAAAAGCAGCCACAGCTTTGCAAAGTTTCTCTAAATAACATCAAGCTCCACCCCACTAAACAGTGACTACATTTCACTAATGCTGCCATTATTACTAGCACTAATGCTAGTTTATGCATTTTTAGGAAGGCAGCAATTATTATTAAATCCTAGCTGTGCTGGCTATGGGATAGAAACTCTTGCTCATTTTTATTTTCCACCATATTGCCCTGCAGTGACATTCATGTAGCTGTGCAGGTTGGGCAGGGTAAATCAGGCTTCAAAAGTTAGGTAAGCCTGCGTGGAAGCAGTTATATCAGTTATTATCAAAACTTTTACAATTATTCCATTTAGATACTATTGTAGATACATCATTTACTCTTAAATCTTGTAGTAGGTTTTTGCTAGCACGAAATAATGCATAAAGGAGACTAGCATAGTAGCTCAGCAAATGTAAGCAACACACAGAGACAGCACATGTTGGACTTTGCATTATTCAGGCTAATAAGTAACTGAGCCGAAAACTTAGAAACTTTTGTCTTCAGCAATTAGAAACAAGACAGGGCTTTCAACAGGCAAAGGTCAAAGCCAGCCTACTCATTAACTTAACAGATTTATTTGTTCCCTTACAGAGGTAAGGATAAACATCTCTCACTAATATAAACTAACTTTCTCTACATCAGGCTAACAGATTACTCTCTATGGAGACCAAGAATGATCATGAAGTGACTGGAAACCAGTTTCCGAAGTCTGATAGGTTAGGTACGATTTTATTTTATTCCATGTTACCTATGCCTTGGCATAACTAGCACAACTGCAACTGTGACAGCTCC